CTGTGCCCTTCAGGGAATGCCAGTCATCAAGTAGATGTCAACCATGAAGTAATTTAGAAAGCTGTTTCCAGCTGATCCTGAGAGAGATCACTTCTGTAAACATTTTTAAAACATGTTTTATGGTATGCTTCCATAGGCTCTAGGGTTGCCTGTGCCCTTCCCCAAGATCTTTTCCCCCACCCCCACATTGATTTCCTCTCTAGTTTTACAATGGATGTCCCTCATGAACAGTCCCAAGTCCACCGTGTTGTTGCTGAAGTGTTTCCCAACAATGTAGGCATGGACATTGTCAGGGAGTCCATCATCTTACAGTTAGGATGTATTCAATTCTTTCACTGGGAGTCCATCCTTGGTCTGTATGCACAGAGACACACAGCACTTTGTCTGCATGTCTGAATATACCAATCTCCACTATGCTTCCATTATATCCCCTAAATTACAGAACCAGTGAGCACAGTCCACATCGGGGTGAAAATAATACATTTTTGTCAACATTAAGTTAACAAGACATGCTACTAAAATAAAAATGCATCACAAGAGTGGTGAAAACAGGAATCAAAAACCTTCATGTAGAAATAGATGCCAGTGCATGGAGGAATTAAAATGAGTAACTAAAACCTCATTATTCATGATATGTAGTAAAACACTGTTGACATAGACATTTACAGTCTCAAGTGTTTACAAGCAAACCATCTGTTATGGATGATCAACTAATGAATCACAAGAATATATTGAGAGAGATACATATAACTAGTAAGTGCAAAAAGATAAGATTCACCGCAAAAAATAATTAGATTTGACTCTACAAAAATGCATATTGAAACAAGCAAGAGCCATTCCATAAGGAGATGAGCAGAACAACCCCTAGCCATGTCAGCATCGAGGTTTTTGACGGAAGTTACAGTAGAGCAAGCATGTGGCATGTGACTTATTGGGTTTGGCTCATTTCTCTTGGCATAATGGTCTCCAATTCTGCCCATCTGGCCAAAAAAGATTGTATTTCATTCTTTTTAATAGTTGAGTAGTACTCCATGGAATAGATGAACCACAGTTTCTTTATCCAGTCCTCTGTCAATGGATATCTAGGTTGTTTCCAAGTTTATGTGATTGTTGATTGTGCTGCAGTGAATACAGGGGTGCAAGCTGCTTTCTCATGTATCAGTTTCTTTGGATACGTTCCCAGGAATGCCATTGCTGGGTCCTATGGTAGGTGAATTTTCAGTTGTCTTAGTATTCTCCATTCTGACTTCCACAGTGGCTGCACCAGCCTGCAATCCCACCAGCAATGGAGTAGGGTTCCTTTTTCTCCCTGCAACCTTGCCAACAGGTGTTGTTGGTAGTTTTCTGTATGTGGTCAATTCTTTCTGGTGTTAAATGGAATCTCAGTGTTGTTTTTATTTGAATTTCCCTTATTGCCAGAGAGTTTGAGCATTTTTTCCATGTGTCTCTCAGTCATTTGGATTTGTTCCTTTGAAAAGTACCCATTTCCTGTGCCAATTTCTTGATTGATTTGTTTTGATGTTAGATCAGGACTCTGGTGGGATTAAAAAAGCAAGCAAAACAAAACAAAATAAAAAATGGCCTGAGGAGGAGACTACAGGCATAGACCCAGGCAAGCCAAATTTTTGATTCATTGATTTTTATGTATTGTTCATTTGATCTCTGTTTGTTTTATTTCTTCTCTTGATTGTGAACATCTACCTTAGCTTTTTCTCACCCCCATGGCATCTCTCTTCCTCTAGTGGCCTCTAGGGAATGTCAGACATGTCTCTTTTTCCATCTCTCTGCTCATCTGGTTCCTGTCACTAAGCTTTCTTCACAGTCAGCTATAGCAGCCTTTCATGATCAGTCATCTTGGATCTCTCCTGTAAGCTTTTCATAAGCCTAGACATGATATGGCATTGTGCTTGTAACAAGCAGGGGGAAATTAAAGAAAAGGAGGCAGTAGAATTAGTTCTTATCCTATCCCTGTGTTGCGTGGCTCAACACAGTTGGTAACCACATGCTGGGACTGTATGACAGGGCACTTCTGACCTGGAAACACACAAGAACACTGGTTCAATATCCCTGATATGAAAATATGAGGTATAAAACTTACCAGGAACCAACCTGTTGCTTAGGAAGTTTTAGATTTTTTTAAACACTTGTGGTTGTGGGATTTGGGATTAATGTTACTGAACCAGAGTAAGCTCTTTTTTGTATGGAGAATCCAGGAGAAAGATTATGGTAGTGTAGGAAGGAGCTTCTGTGTTGACCACGCTTGGGAATACTTCTCAGGCCCCCTTACCCTCTGTCCTCACAGAGCATACCATGGCCTTCTTATGTGTGAGTTTTTTAAATGACTCCTCCCCTCATATTTCTACAGCTTGATGACTGCTTTGAATTCTTGCTCTGTGTGGGCAAGAACCTGGAATAAAAATGAACACATAGGCCCATCACAGGTTGACTGTCCAGGAGAGGTAGACCCCCAAATCACAGTCTTTTTGCCAAATTAATGTATTATATGACATCCAAATAAGGAGACAGAATTAGCTCTCTGACTCCCCAGTTTCCATATGAAACATGATGAAGGGAAGCAAGCATGGACATCAGTGATGGGAGTTGATGGGTCAGCCAACGAAGACAGTTTCTGGTCTTTTTCATCAAGCACAGCTCAACTACATGCCTCTTCACACACTGCATGGTCAAAAAATAGACTATGTTGGCTCAAAACAGCGTAGATTCTCAAGTCAACACTGATGGATTTTAATGGGCTTGTTAGTTTTAACAAAGCTTGCTGTTATTCTGCCAGGTAAGCTGAAAGATTTCAGTGAGGTCCTAACCTCTTAACCCTTCCAGATCAAGTTTTAGTTCTCTTGGCTTTTGATCATTCTTCAGTCTTGAGTAGGGACAGTTGGACAAACTGCCCCATTGTTGGTGTGAATCATGAGCCTGCCTACCAGTCAGTGGAAATACTGCTAAGCACTTGATTCTTTCAGTTAAATTCTGTGTCCTCAGGACTTTAATTCCATGCTTTGTTGTTTTAGGATTGCATAGGATGGGTTGTAAGATTAAATGTACAACACAGAATTTCTGAATGTAATTAAACCAATACAATAATCCCTGAAAAACTGATCTTATGCCCTGTGAGAGCCATTAAAACAATCCCAAGACCTGGTTACTTCCTAGGGGAATTGAAATACCTGGGACTTTTCTGGATTATTATCTAATGTGCTTAAAATAAATTATCTACCGAAGCATATATATTAATACAGGTGCACCAAGAGAAATTGGCTTCAATGGACACAATGCTTGGCCCCAAGAGGGTATAATGGAGGACAATGCCATTTTCTGCCACACTCAGTTTGCACTTGCTGAACTGTGATAGCTGGAGTATATCATATCCAGTGTGACAGATGATTTTTATCATTTTGTGTGTGTGGTACCAAAGTCTCCCACTAGCATAAACGGTTTTTCTTCCATGTGTGGAGAGGAAACCATCTGCCTAAGACGCAGGTACATAGGCAGTTTTGGGTATATCAAGTTTAGGGGATGACCCAATGGAAGTCTCACTAAAGCAGTGGACAGAGCAAGGGGATATTCACTAGTCTGAGCTGCAAATACTTCACATATACCAGCTGTCAGTTCATTCACATGTTCAAGGCTGCATCTTGAACCCCTTAACAAATGCATATCCATCAAGGTCACACAAGAATCGATTCCTGAAGAAATGTAAAAATTGAGGCGCTCATGGACTAGTTACAGATTAAAATAACTTTCATTAATATTGGGTTGAAGATGAGTAGTCCAAGTTAGTGACAAACTTCTGAATTACAAGATCTTTTTAATATATATGTATTTTTATTAATTACATTGCATTATGTGACACAGTTTCATAGGCTCTGGGATTCCCCCAACCCTCCCTAAATCACAAGATTTTAAAGACTTTTTAATCAAGGGTATTGCATCAGTAGTTAATTTGTTTATTTCATTATGTCTTCTACATTATTGTCTAGTAAAGAAAGAGGGGCTGAGAATCTTCCTCTAAGAGATTACTTCCTGTGTTGAGACCTGCAGGGACATCAGTGGAAACTTCAGTGGACCCTGGTTTTCTGCACTATAAGTCACTGGTGATGGGGGGGAGTCAAAGTGAATAAAAAAGTGGGGGCCCACTTTGGTCAACATTATGTCCCAGTATAAACCTGCCTATTGCAGGCAGGTTGGCATGGAGAACCAGGTAAAAGCAGAAACAGATATGACCAGAGGATCGCGATGGTCATGTACTGGAATAGGACATTTGATGGCAAACTGAACGTCTAGGAAGACTGTCAGCTTTGATCAAGGCACAGGAAATTGCATTACCTTCATGCACGAAAGTGAAAAATTGCAATAAAAGTCCATCATAGGGGACAACAAAAAATATTTACATTTATGCTTTTATTTATACTTGATTTTTTATTTATACTTTTATTTCCTGAAATACAGCTTTGAGGTTTACAAAGAAAGAAGATTCATGAGGTAGTGCACAAATTAACATAATCCTGTAGATTGGGACGGATATGTCAACAGTCCAAAAAGTAAGATATCTGGGTATTTATACATTATTTACCTTGTTTTCCTTAGAAAAGTTGCTTAATGTCACCTACAGGTTACACAGTCCAAGCTTGGGCATGATGAAGTCCACACATGAAAGTAGATTTAGGAGGACTTGTATAAATGTATGATAAATCCAAGAGTGACAGAAGAAAATGTTTAGTTAAAAAACAACATCAACAACTTAAAGGCACAAAATGGATGCTACTTAGCTTCAGCTTGTTTTCTGAAAAGCAACCTGAGGATGCATTATAGGTTCACAAGAAGACTGAAGAGAGTCAAGAGTGGTGTGTATTATTGGTCTATCAATAATGAGCTTGGCCTGAGCACACAGCTGGCCTACTTGGAGCTTCTCACAGGGATGGGCTGTTGACTTCATTCCCTTGAGGATACAGCCTCATGTTTCCTTGGCATGTTTACCCTTCCAGGTCCTCAGCAGCACTTTGTCCCTTGGAGTCAGCAGATGAAGACACACAGCAATGGTAAATTCTTGGGAAGGACAAGTTTGGGACTACCACGGTAATGCCCAAGCTTCGCCTGTGCCCAGGGAGATCTAGTTCTGGAACCCACCATCTGCACTCCCCAGATCAAGCATACTCTAAAGAGGGTGAGAATTTGGTGCATCAGTTAAGATGCTGGCTGGAATGCCTGCTTCACTTTATTAGGGTTTAGGTCCTGATGCTTCACCCAATTTTAGCTTCCTGTAATGCAGGCATTGGGCTCAAGTCCAATGGTCTTAGTCACCAACGTGGGAGACCATGATTGAATTCTTGGTTTCAGACCAGCTCTGTCTTGACCATTATGGTTTATCTTTGGAGGCAAGGGGAGGGGAGTGAATGAGCATTTTGGGAGTTCTGTCTCTGTTTCTTGGCCTCTCAGACAAAGAAGTGAAAGAAACAGGGTTGGAAGCATACAATGAGATTTCTGAGTAGCATCTTGCAGAGGGCTGGACCAGACGCCTTGAGGCCGGTTGGAGCAGGGAGCAACTCTCCCAGGAGTGCAACTGAAGGACACTTATTGCAAGCCAAATTAGTCTCCTGACAAATCTGCATATCTGGCCCTAGATGGGATTCATGTTTCTCATGGTAACAGTGTCTCCCTGGTCAGCCCCACACTCCAGAAATCTCCAAAGATAATTAGAAAGCAGAGTGTCTCTATCACCATCCACTTGCATAAGGAGTGGCAACCCCAAGATGCAGTAGCACACAGTCAGTCACTGGGGACAAGGCTAAAGAGGACAGCAGAGCTTGTAGAGTTGCCAGAATCCTGGCTGAAGAACCTCTGGCAGATTTCATCCCCCACAGCCCCGGATCCCACTGTGCCCGGCAGCTAAACACAGAGAAACAATTTCTAGCATCGAGAGGTCCCCTCCCACATCAGAAAGGACCAGACCCAGTTCTCCACACACTGGATTCTTCTGCAGAACCCACACCCTGCTAGGTTCAACACTCATTTCACACTGCATCCTTCATTGTCATTGATGAGACCATTCAGTTGAATAGAGCATATGTGACATTGCTTAACAGCATTGAACAAGAGCTTGTCTGACACACCTCACTTTGGCCTTGTGACTGCTCACATGCAATTGGCTCATGCTGGGCAATTCTGGCACTAAACTAGGTTGCAGCACCAGCCTTATTGCTCCCCTACCCTGTGATATCCCCCAACCTGACTAGGCTCATCTTACCCCTCTGTCACTTCTCTTATTGGTTGTGATTATAAGATCTTCCAAGCCGATTCTGGGTCTCAGGTCAAAGCCAGCACAGGACCCGGACCCTTAACTGAATCCCCAGGGGCTGAGGTCATCAAATCCAGATAACACCCTTTTCCCCGAATTACTGAAACCAAGATGGGGAGCAAAGGAAAGCTGGGATCCAGAGGAGAGAGGGGCTTACTGTCCAGGAGGACAACAACACACCAAAGCTACCTGGAGGCTGAGGGAGATCTCCCTTTCTGTGGCACAATGCTGGCCTTGTCACTTTTTGATACCTGTCCAGTTGGGGTGTCTAGGGCGCTCATAGGAGTGCTGTCTCCAAAGTATGAGGGTAAGGAGTCTATACCAAGTCAACTGCTCCTTTCCTAACTTACTGAGACTATGGTGGGGGGCCAAGTGTAGCCTTGAAGAGGGATGTATGAAGGAGGAAGAGAAAAACAGGCCACCCCTTCTCTGAGAGGAAGGAATCCCATTGAGGCCCATCACCATCCCATGGGAGGCTGAGATAACCTTTCTTCCTGGGAGAGCTGTCTGGGGCTTCTCAACACTCAACACCTTTAGGAGGAGGCCCATGTCTCTCCTGTAAATGCCGCCTGGAAAGGGTCTGATCTGGCCTCGTACAGCCCTGACATAGCACCATGCATGTTGGAATGATCTATGCAGAATAAGATGGCGTCAGGTTGCCTGCCCAGTGCCCAAAGTGAGTCAACATAGGGGTTGCTGGGGTTAGAATCAGCCCTCCAGTAGGAACTATGCCAAGAGGTCAGAGGTAAGACTAAGGAAGAGTCGCACCCATGCACTTTTTCCTATACGGCCAGAGAGCAGCATGACCCCAGGGCCAGCCCCTCTGATCCTCAGTGGAGGCCTGAGAGCAGTCATGAGAAGGGAGGATCAAAAGGCAGAGGAAGCGAAAAATGAGCACTGCTCTGCCCAGAGAAACTGCACGCTCGACCTGGGGGCACCCAGGGGACTGCTCTTCATTCCTGGGAAGTCTTGATTCTGTTGGGAAATGGCTACGGCTCCTGAGAAGCCCACAAAGAGGACACGAGGGCTCTGCTCAGAGTTGGATCTTCTGCAGGATCTTGGGGTGTGTCCTGCCAGAGCATTGGCATAATCAGGCACTTGCATAGGGCACAGTTCCCTGTTGAGTCAACCCCAGGCTCAGGAGTAGAATAGCTAGGGGAGAAGGGTCCAACCACCTAGGTTTGCAAAGACAGTCTATTGACTATCAAACTCAGCTAACGAAGTGCCTCCTTTACAGATGGGTGGTGGGGGCCTCACCCATGCTGGAGCCATTGCCCCACATGTCATCAGATTCCAATGCTGGACTGTCTTGATGGGTTGCTCTTACCTCCTAAACTGCTTTGCATTGCTATTGAGGGAGAGATGGCACTGCATGTCCAAGGATGCTAAGGTCCCGGGAACCAGACACAGACCTTGATGATGGGCCAGAGCCCAGGGCCACTGCAGCACCACTGCAGCTGCTCCTTCTTTCTCCCCAGCTGTGGCAGATGTGGCAGAGCTCCTGTCCTTGTCCACCTCCAGTCTGCTTGGCCTCACTGCTTGCCACACCCGTGTGCCACACACAAATGTCATGCCTCCAATCCTGCCTCTCTCCTTCTACCCCAACACTGTTACATTTTAGGGTGGGAACAGCACACACACACACACACCCTAAGCCTCCTCTCCACAGCCTTTTCCTGCTGGTCTTTCCCTCCATGCATGGCCAGGCCCACGGTGGTGGTTCTGCCTTCACATGGAGTTGTAGTCCCTCCTGTTGCAGGTCTCCCCCAAGACCAGCCTTGTAACACTCTATATCCAGCCTCCCCCTGCAGAGAGGAACCTTAGAATCCCTTAAGTGTGATCCCCTTCCTTTACTTTCCTTCCTCACTCCTCCTGCAGGCCTTTCTGCCACTATCAGTGCCAACCTATCCCTCCTCCACCAGTCATTTCTTCTACCACAGCCAATGCATCTATATGCTTCAATTCTGAGCCTTCTTTAGACCCTAAGGTCGCAGGCAATGATTGGATCCCACCTCCTCCTTATGCTGTCATTTTAAACTTTCTCTTTGCTCCAGTGGGAATCCCATTTCCCCACCCCCACAGCAGAGTGGTTTGATCCACTCTGCCAACACACCAATCCCTACCAGCCCACTTGGGCCAAGGTTTCCCCAAACCGCCCCAATTTTTGCCCATTCCTTTAGTCTGAAACTGTTCTGTCCAGACTGGGGACTCTTAAGGCAGCAACACTGAGGCTGTCTCCCTAAAGCCTCATTGTCTGTTATTCCAATAAAGGCTCCTGCAGCCTCCTCTGCCCATGCAGGCAGCGTGTCCGCAACCTCACTGCCTTAGCTGGCATGAACAACACCAGGGTGTGGCATTACTACTCCCTGTGTCTCCACAGACAACTATAGATCATTTTCCATGGTGCTTCCTGGTGCTAGAATTCATCACTCAGTGGCAGCATTGCCTCAGCACAAATCTGCTTGCATAGTGTGCCATGGACCAACACACACTTCCAGCCATCCCTTTAATACAGGAATTTCACTGAGCCCACATGCGGTATGCATAGTGACTGCTGTATTTTGTGGATGCCAGAGGCCCCAGCACCAGCCTAGTCCACCCTGCTTCTCCTCAGCGTCATGCTGGCACCATGAGTGAGTTTGACATGTGCATGGCTTGCATTTGTTATGCCACACAAAGCATGACCAGCTTTCCTTACGAGGACAGCCAGTGCTTCTGGCCTACCAGGGTGTTGTCCAGGGTCTCAGAATGACTGGGAACAGTAGTACTTATTTTGCTGGCAACTCTCACTCCAGAGCCATTAGTGGCTATGGAACTAATTCAACCTTTTTTTTTCATTGAGAATTTTTGGATTTGCATGTCCACCCAATGCACCACTTCTAGTATAATAAACTTAGGAACACAGCATTGGCTGTTGTAACAGGGATCCAGGACTGGCTTTGTGTTTGATTCCCATTTAGTGCTCACCACATTCAAGGCACCTATAAGTACAATTGACTTATGCTGCCCCAATAGGTCCCGCTAGGAGAGAGGCGGATGCCACATGCACCTGTAGATCTTTGTGCTTCTGCTTGCCGCAGGTGTATCTGAGGCACACCTGGACAGCAAAACCCACACAAAGGGGATGTATGCCCTTGGCCAAGGAACAAGCATTAAGAGGTCAGTCTCCACATTGCATCCCAGTGTGGGGCTTACCTGAACATACCATAGCCATCACAGTTGCAATATCAGCACTGTCCCTGTGTTTGTAAACACAGCCAAGGTTCAATACTTTATAGTCATTTGCTCAGGACTCGGGTGATCCTGTGGACATGGATGGGGCCACACCCATGATGTAGAACCTGTGTCCCTGCTTCCTAACAATGCATCTGAAGCACAAATGGTTAGAAAATGCTTCTACTTTTAGAGGAGCCACCACTGTGGCCAAGAAACCTGTGTTGGAAGACCTGACTCCATTCACCTCCCATTCCAGAACCTGGAACTCTCTTGGCAACAACACAACCACTGCGACTACAAACACCAGCACTGAGTATGGACATACATTTGGGTCCACTTTCATGCCTTCTCTAAGCACAGGAGGGAATGTAATCTTTCCCTTGAAGAGAGGCCCAGGTTTTCATCTTTCCATCAGTACCAGTGGGGCCCATCTGGCCAGATCACAGGTAGCACTACAGTGGACCCCACTACACATGTTGTGATGGAAAATCCTTGCAGTCTCAAACAGCAGCATGAACCCAGAAGAGG